TACTGCATTTACGTCTGCTAAAGATCCAGCCGACCTTGCCTTCAAGGAGCTTGAGCCAGCAGCAGGAACCTCGTAGAATTCAAATGTACGGGTCTTCCAAGTGCTCAACGGACCTACGTGGGTGATTAGTTACAGGAACGGTTGGACATGTGTACATTGCGCACCATTGGGGTCATTGAGGATTTTCAGCGTTTTATCACCCGTATTGATAACACATGCTGAAACAGTCAAATCATCGGGATCATTAACATCGTCTTGTGCTTTGACTATGAGCAGTAGCGATCCAAGATCGGCGTCGCGCCGCGCCAACTCTCCAAGGTGGTGGGTTGTGTCAAGCTGGTCGTGGGTCGTGGGGGCGGCAAGTGCTAGCGAGGCGCAAAGGCCAGCTACGAGACTAGAAAGCAACATTGCCGAAGAAAGGGTTGGGACTGAGGCTCTGGGGCGTAATGCGTTTTTCTATGTTGGTCCGTGGCCTCGCCTTTTTCAACCCCATCCGGCACTTGCCTGCTGTGGCAGTGTGGTACCGACCTGTGCCTAGTTTGGGCACCGTGGGCTTGGCACGCGTACCGCTAAATTCACTGCCATCTCACAGCACACTTTCGGAACGTAACAAATTTCGTAAAGCAGCGCATACATGGTTGGCAGTTCAGCGACGGATGGCTAATTCAGTCTGGACACCAACCGCCTAGCTCAAGCTAGAGTGCTTAAAGTTAGATCATCAGCTAAAAAAAGGAGATTTGACTGAGCGTTCTTCAGGCGCACTGGTAATTTGAGTCTAGTCATATGACAGGATAAGAAGCCAAGTGACCCGTTTTCATGTGGTAAAAAGTGCTCGTTATTCCCCGGCGATTCGAACGAAATTATTCCAAAACATTCAAGCACAAACGAAGCCCATATACATGGTATCGTAGATATGTTTTGCGCAGGTCGCAGCGTGGTCAAACTTACTGTCCTCTCATCCAATAATCATAGTCTGGTATTCGATGGACAATTGCCCATTAATTGAATACGTAGTCTTTTGTGAGAATATCAATAGAGCTTCATTTGAGAATCTGCAAAAGACGTAGCAAAGAGCATGCTTGAACTGATCGAAGCTTGGCGGATGTTATTGTGTGAAGGGTCAATGAAATACACATCTGAGGTGTACAATATTAATATGACAGCTCTATATTGAACAACACGATAAAAAGCAAGCAAATACAACTAGCTTCAGTCTTCTTCGTCACTCGCATACCCACCGAGCCCCCCCAATCCGACTGCGGCCGGGCGTGGAGCGGGCGCACTTGCCGGGACAGCTTTTGGGGAGGGAAGTTACGCAATGTTGGGTGTATTTTCAGCAAAATATTCATGGGAGCTGTGATTGATTTCCGATCAGCTTTCATTTTCGAAACAGAGGTATAAGCCTACTTACTCAGCGTTCATAATAGCTTGAGCGGGGTTGCTTTTTGCGAGAGCTTGGGCCTCATCATGACCATACCCGAAGTCGTCTGTACCAGCAAGCGCCGTAAAGTGGGTAGCCTCGTGGATAATTGTTCCCGCCCTCGAATCGGTACCCAGAGTCTGAGCTTTCCAGAAAGCACCACATAGATATACAATGCCGAACTGGTCAGGGTAAACGTACGCAAAGGTATCTTCTGTTGTGCAAGAGCAATCGTAGAGGAACCGTTGGGGCTGGCCTTGGAGCGCGAGGTAGTGCGATTTGACCGAGTTCCAGCGACTGTTCTCGTAAGGGCCGAACCAGGTCCTGTATCGGTTGTTGGCAATATAGTAAGCGGTAGCGAGGTATGTATTGACTTCAGCGATGTATGCGTCTGCGCCTTTGATGCCTTCTGTGATACTGTTTTGTTGGGCTGCGGTGCAGTTACGGAAGGTCTGGCGTTTGGAGAGAGAGTGGTCCTCGACAGAGTGGTCGACCTCCCAACGGCGGGAGCGTGTACCGTGGTTAGGGATACCAGCGCTGACAAGGCCGTGCGTAGAAGGATATGTGCCTGATACGGCAACGTTGACCGCCGTCCACTGGGAAGCTTCAGCACCGTCGTACATCTTTGCCTGAATATAGCCTATCGAGTTATCGTCTTTGACAATACGAAAGTACTCGGCGTTGGAGGTGAGCCTGGCGACATAGGCACCCGTGGTGTGGAAGCTATACATTCCCGAGACTGAAACATAATGTGCTTAGGATAGATGCGGGGCTAATGAACGTAGCGCGACGTACGATCATGGGTGAGTGTCTTGTTTTCTCCAGGTGCAAGAATAGTGAATGCACTAGGGTCAGAAACGCTCGCTGCTTGCCCTGCATTATACTTGAATAGCGGAGTGATTAGCTCTATACCAATTTCAACAGGTCAAGAACCTACTTTGACGCGTACTGCATTTACGTTTGCTACAGATCCAGCGGACCTTGCCTTCAAAGAACTCGACCCAGTGGCTGGAACCTCGTAGAATTCAAATGTGTGGGTCTTCCAAGTGCTCAAGGGACCTACATGGGTGGTCAGTTACGGGAATAGTTGGACATGTGTGCATTGCGTACCATTGGGGTCATTAAGAATTTTCAGCGTTTTATTACCCGTATTGAGGAGACACGTTGAAACAGTCAAATCATCAGGATCATTAACATCGTCTTGTGCTTTGACTATGAGCACTAGAGAACCAAGATCTGCGTCGCGTCGCGCTAACCGACCAAGGTGATGGGTCGTGTCAAGCTGGTGATAGGTCGCGGGGGCGGCAAGTGCTAGCGATACGCAAAGGCTTGCTACGAGGCTAGAAAATAACATTGCTGGAGGCCGAGGCTCGGGGGCGTAATGAGTTTTTCTATGTTGGTCCGTGGCCTCGCCTTTTTTAACCCACCCAACACTTCCCTGATGTGGCAGTGTGGCAGCGACCTGTGCCTAGTTTGGGCAGCGCGGGCTTGGCACGCGTACCGCTAAATTCGCTGCCATCTCACAGCATACTTTCGGAACGTAACAGATTTCGTAAAGCAGGTGGATAGACGCGCATACATAGTTGGCAGTTCAGCGACGGATGGCCAATTCGGTCTGGACACCAACCGCCTACAGTAGCTCAAGCTGGAGTGCTTGAAGTTAGATTGTCAGCTGAAAAAAGGATATTTAACTGAGCGTTCTTCAGGCGCACTGGTAATTCGAGTCTAGTCATATGGCAGGATAAGGAGACAAGTGACTCGTTTTCATGTGGTAAAAAGTGCTCGTTATTCCCCGGCGACCCAAACGAAATTATTCCAAAACATTCAAGCACAAACGAAGCCCATATACATGGTATCGTAGATATGTTTTGCGCAGGTCGCAGCGTGGTCAAACTTACTGTCCTCTCATCCAACAATCATAGCCTGGTATTCGATGGACAATTGCCCATTAATTGAATACGTAGTCTTTTGTGAGAATATCAATAGAGCTTCATTTGAGAATCTGCAAAAGACGTAGCAAAGAGTATGCTTGAACTGATCGAAGCTTGGTGGATGTTATTGTGTGAAGGGTCAATGAAATACACATCTGAGGTGTACAATATTAATATGACAGCTCTATATTGAACAACAGGATAAAAAGCAAGGAATGACAACTAGCTTCAGTCTTCTTCGTCACTCGCGTACCCACCGAGCCCTCCCAATCCGACTGCGGCCGGGCGTGGAGTGGGCGCGCTTGCCGGGACAGCTTTTGGCTGAAGCGTACCCCCCTGTCGGCGCCTCATCTCCGCCAAGTATTTAATACCCTCCAACGTTTGGGCGCTCAACAGGCCGGTCTGTGGTGCCGGTTCCTCGTACTGCTCCTGTGGTTCTGGCTCTTCTAAACGCTGTCGCTTTTCTGGTGGTGAAGGAGCCTCTGGAACAGCTTCTTCGTCCTCCAACGCTCGGATGTGTCGCACAGCGTCGACCATCCTGGGGTCGAGTTTGTTTGCAATTGCAACGCTACCAATTTCTTCCAGACGACGCTTTTCTGCGACTTTAGAAGTCGGATTGGGGTCTTCCGTCGCCCAGCTAATAACCAGGAGTCAGAGAATTGTTTGTGGGTAGGGTATAGCGGAGACGTACCGAACGTTCAAAATCTCATCATTGTCCAAGCTCTGACACGCCATAGCTTCTTTGGCAAACTGAGCATTTGCCTCATCTGCGTATGTTACGAAGGCAACACTTCGGTGTTGAAGCACTCGTACTACAGGTCTTGTGTTAATTTGGTAATGGTAAGCTGCAAAGTGTGACGTACGGTATACGATCTCTCCCCACATCTTGAAGTGTCGTCGCACAATTTCTTCCGTCTCTGGCCCCGGCCCCGTCTCCTTGATTCGCCCGATGTATAACGTTCGGTTTTGTCGTGTGAAAGATCCAACACCACCCATGTCGTCTCGGTAGTCTGAGAATTTGTCACGGGCGAAGCAGTCTTTTGACGAATCGGGCATGGCAGTGGCGGGAGAGGGAAGACTATGGAGGAATTCACATTCATAACTGTAGTTGAATAATTAGCAACGGGCTGCAGCATGATTCGTTGAGTTTATTTACCCATACGGACAGCAGCCGCGGGCGAAAAACAGACAGCAATACTTCACGCCTGTCGAGTTGGCTCTTGTGTAGCCAGCATCGCGCTTGATGTTACAGCGTGTCTGGGACTTTTCTTTGCTACAACGAGGTTAGCTCGTATAGAATGGAATAAAGCCACGCTTACTTGGAGTAGCTATCTTCTCTGTCCCCTCCCGCCCATTTATTGTACCAGATGTCTATGAGTGAGTTGGTTAGCAAGTGGCATTGAATAGCACTAGTGAATTCACTCACTATACTCCTTTCCAGTCTGGGGGGTCTCCTTTTTCTCAACTTGGCCTGGCTTGACTTGCTTACGAGCAGGCTTGAGTGGTGCTGCTGGTTTGTCTGTAACCTCGGACATGTTGTGGGGAGTGGCACAAATCCAACGGAATTGGACCCACAAGTCACGTGCACCTAGATGTAAGCTCCTGACCTTTGTGACCCATAATATCTTTCAAACATGGATTTATAGCATGGGACAGAAGCTCAGTGGTTGAGCGCTCGATTGCAACTTGCTTAGTCATCATCGAGCGGTCGCGTGTTCGATCCACGCTTGTCCCTTTCCTTTTTAAATAGCTGGTTTTTACTTATGGGCAACTCTTATAACTGCTAGACAAGTCAGCTTTTTGCCCTGATTTTTTTTTTGGAAATTTTTTTGCGTGTTCGAGCCACGCCTAGCCCTGCTTTTATTCTTGATTGTTTTTAGTCAAATACAACTTGCTAATTAGTTGGCATTTTATTAGAGCAAAAATTGATTAGATGTGTTGTGCATCATCTTTGATATTGATTGTAATTCAGTCGTGCTCCGTGGATGTATGGAACAGTTCAGGCCGAGCTTGTAATCCAACAGTCTGAAAGCTCCTTCAAAGTTACCTGCAATGTCCTGTCTTTGCAGGTTGTTTGAAAGTGCCCAGGAACTGCTTCTCTAATATCTCCTTGCTGGGTTTTCTGGGGATCAGTCCAGAAAGAAAATAACCAGTCTAACAGGCAGAGATGAATGGATAGGTAAGAACTTTATCCGAATCCTTGTTGCTTATGTTCACGATGTTAGAGCATCGCGGTTGAGGGAGCTTTGTTTACTTGAAACTGGCTACTAAACGACGCTATTGTGTTATAGATCCACTAATTCGGCAGTTGCGCAAACTGCAACGTTCTATCGCAAATGTCATAACCCCCCCCCCCCATAATACCATTGTGTATGGACGTGTACTATGGGGTATAAATGCATACATGCGGTCAGAATTGTGAATTAATTTAGTCAGAGTGGGAAGTTTGGCTCTCTTTGCATATTCGTGTGAGACAGGAGTTCAGCGTTCTCTGACGCTCAACCCAGATTTTTTATAGTATAGCATTACCCCGGCCAAGCCATGCCGTTGGCGGACCTGACAAAAGCTGTGCCGTTGTGTGGCTCCACGCACGTGCGCGTTGAAGGTCTCTAGTGCCACGGTCGTAGAAATAATACTGTATTCACTTAACCTTGACCATGCTTTCAACTACATCTCCACCAACCATCTAGTCCACTAAATTTTACTTGATCCTCCCTCCCCTTTATCTACTATCCCACCGTTGACTCCACCCCCTTCACTACAGATTCCAGGTTAGCTCCCGATCTTCTAATCCTTTACAGTCTGTTCCCCCGCTTTCTTCACCTGGCTTACGTATCCAGCTATAGCTAAATACGCACGTTGTACTATTCTCTATAGCTTTGCTTCACACCACTGGCCTTTTGTACGTCTTTACGTCCCTCTGTGCGACTTCGACTAGGCTAACTGATTTTACCCACCAACGTTGAACTCCACAGTGCACTAGTATATCCTAACATGGGTCGAGCAGATGCCACACGTCCGCGCACTGTGTGTTGCGCCATCCCCATTGCTCGTCCCACCAACAAAGTGCTCCTTGTAACCAGCCGAAAACGGCCTCACCAATGGGTTTGTGAGTGTTTACTTTTTTCATCGCTGTTTATCCCGCATTTGACGCCCTCCACCCTGTAGTACCAAAAGGCGGCTGGGAAACAACGGACCCGTCTTTGGAGGCAGCAGCATGTCGAGAGGCGTTTGAAGAAGGTCACTCGCTCTCGCGCCCCGCGTCCGCGTTCGTCGCCTTCTCACATTCTCCACGCCTTTCTTTCCACCTTTAGCCGGTGTTCAAGGCAGAATTACCCGTGCAATTACGACTATTGCTGGCGCAACTGCCAACTACCATTTCTTTGAACTGGACGTCGTCTCGCTGGCCGACACATGGGACGAGGCCGCAGAAAGGCGGCGGGAATGGGTAGATTTTACCGAGGCGGTCCGACGAGTGACGTGGAAACCGGAGCTCGCGCAGGCCCTAATGATGTGTTCGCTCGCACCCGCAAGGCGATAATTGGCTACGTCCCCTCGCAATTAGCTGGTGCCGACTCGGTGGCCGGCATTTGCAGCAACAACCCTCAAATTTTCAAGACTCGCGCCACTCATGTTGCAGACTGGAACTCTCGTCTTCTGCTCTCTAGAACTCCCAGCACGTTGCTCCTCCCTTGATCCGGTATACCCTTCACCAGCTCCCTACGCCGAATTAATTGCCAAATTCGCTTTTGCGAGTGATGTTACATTTGAATCAATTATTTATCGGCACTAGACATTTGGCGATATTTTCTATACGCTTGCTCCCCTCACTTGATTTTCATCTCATTTATTGTTATAGCCTTGATTTTTGCGCATGCTTTCGCCTGGAATTAGACGCGCGAATCTCACGTCCCTGCGTAACTTTGTAACAAAGTTTGTTTGCTTGTTTGATTTGTGGCTGTGTTACCGGACCGCATATAATCACACGGAAGCAAATTTTTACAAGTTGATTCTTCCACAATCAAAACCGCTGCGTGATGAGTTTTTAGCAACGAGATGACTGGCTGCATACCTTTGGGTGTGCACGCTATGATATCGCTCGTTCGGCACCTTACCTTGTATTTTTAAAGGAACGGGCGTAACACTCCTGATGGCGTTTTTGGTGGTGGAAGTTTTGATTGCAGTGTTTATTTTATTTTATTGACGGATCTGTAAATGTTAGCTTCTGTAATCCCAAATAAGATGCTCGGTCCTCTTGTCTGCAGCTGGCCACTTCAGCATGAGTACCCCAGACGCCGCAAGTCGGACCAATGAGAGTCCACAAGACCTACCTGTCAGGTTCATACCTCCCTTGGCACTTGAGCGACAGCGATGGCTGCTCGAAACCCTTCGACAAAACTATGCTCGATCGGTAAGCCTTTATCGTTGGTGGAGGTACTATGTTCCTATATGTTTTTGAATAGGTGTTAGACCTTGGGTGTGGCGAAGGATCGTTGTTGAGCGCCTTATGTGGCCCAGCATCGAGTCTACCAAACGACCCACAAGACAGTCACCTATTGTCTCCTGTTTGCGACCTCAGCCTTGATCGTGTGGCTGGCTTGGACATTGACCCAGCGGTCATCGACGATGCTGTGAACGCTGCGACTTATGACCGCGAACCTCACTACCTCGCCCCATGGGGTTCTGGAGAAGACGGCTGGTATACACGCTGGGCACCTCTCGAAGTAAGCGTATGGCGAGGGCAACTGGAAATACCGAACCCCGAGTTTTGTGGCTTTGATGCGATTGTGTCTACCGAAGTGTAAGGCTATCTTTTAGCTGTCTGACATCGTCTGACCAACTACAGACAGATTTGAACATGTTCCGGACAGTATTCTCCCTGCTTTCTCTCATGTGCTCCTGGGACATTACCGACCCCGCCTTCTACTCCTTACCACCCCGAACTTCACCTTCAACGCCCGCTTTCATCCGCCCGACGTCCCGCGCAAAGGGTTTCTAGACCCCACAGGCCAGACCACCCGAGTCTTCAGGCATTCAGACCACAAACGTGAATGGACAGTGCCTGAATTCGAGGAATGGTGCCTCGAGGCAGCCAAAACGCATGGATACGATGTCACGCTAGATGGAGTAGGCGTTCCCGTTGAGCCAGATCCATTTGGTCGCGAGTTGGGATACGCTTCCCAGACGGCGCTCTTCGTCCGACGGGAGTCTGACCCGGGATCGCTGGGATTGGAAAGGATGTCCATCTCGGGCGCGTTTGCTGGCACTAGCCCTGCTCATCAGCTCATCGCTCGGAAGATTTTCCCAGTTGATCCGCGTGCAGGTCATCCCCAGTCTGGGCGTGCGATCAGAGCAGCCTTGGCAGAGCTGATGAACGTGCGGGGCGAAGGGGAGCTTACATTTGGTGAGCTGTGGTGTGAACTTGCTATGCCATGCGGAGGTTCTGTTGCGGCTTTCGTGAGTGCGTTGATGGAGGAGGCGCCCGAGGGAGATGCTAGCATATATGCGCTCACCGAAGATGCGAATACGGCGCCTGAAGACAGAGTTGACGAAGCACCAGACACTCTCGGACAGTGGTCTATTCTCCCACCTCGGAACCCTAATGTCTATACGGAGCCACGGTGGGATAGAGTGGTGGTATGGCAGGGATTCAGAGACAAGCCCGTCGGACAAGAGGCGGAACCCGAAGAGTTCTACGAGACAAACGAGGAAGAAGAAATTGAGTATGGGAGCGAGGAGGAGTCGGAATGGGTTTCTCAAAGCGTGACCTGGGAAAACTCTGGGGGCGGTTGGCCGCAGGCAGGCGAGGAGACCGTTCCAGTCACGCCGGACCCTGGGTTGGGTGGATGGGGCCAGGTTCAGGATGATGATTCTGCAAGATGGGGGGAGGTGGCCCACGACGATACTGCGGCTGCAGCAACCTGGGGTTATGTCGAACTGGACAAGAAGCCCAACGAAATATCTATATGGGCAGCAGGAGTAGACAAGGGCACTGGCTAGGAATTACTGGATGAAATTTAGATGTGACGAAACAACGAATTACATGCAATGAACATAATAATTTATGATAGCAATACTGAACTTACAAAATTTATCCTGCAAAGCACCACTACCTCATATACTCCGGCACTCATTGGCCGTAGACCAGGAATAATGACCGACACCTCAATCGCTGTACCATGCAGCCATCTCTTTTTCCTTCCGTTTCTTTTCTTTCTGCTTTTCCGTCAATTTCTCCCACTCTGACCCTTCTTCACTATCCTCATCATCGCTCTGGCCCTTCTTTTTTCGTACTGGCTTCTTCGGCATAGGTGGTGGAGGTGGAGGTGGGGCTCCCCGTATGGAGAGCAGGGGAGCAATTTTGCTCGATCCACGCCGTGAGAGACCAACGCGCGGAGGTGGGGTACCTGTACCCCCAAGAGCAAGGCGCAATGTTTCTGCAAGTGGGCCTGTTCAGATTTATTCGTCAATTAAATGTCGTGTGAGGACGAGTGAAAGACGCACGCTCTGAAGTCTTGCGCCCCACAGACCGCAACAATGCACCTGAAGCACCCATCGCGACAGGCAGAGGCGCAGGAGTAGTACTATGGCGAGGTTTTGGTCGAGAAGGCTTAGGAGCAGGTGTTTGATTTGGGGCGACAGGGTTGGATGGTCCGGCAGCGTCGGTAGCCGCACTGGGATTTGAGGATACTACATCTGGATTGGACGAAGTTGCGCCAGTAGGGACACCGGGTT